AAAATGACGTCTTATGAAACTTGTATTTTAATGTACTATTTAATACCTATTTAGAAGTACCAGGCGTTCTAGTGACAAAACGTATGTCGCTTCTTGACACACAAATAAAATTAGGTTAGGAATTTCCTATTCGTACATGAAATTGATGTATTAGCAATCGACGTTCGTTTTTGTTGGTGATTTTTTGTTTCATTTGATTGACAGTGTCTCACTTTCGAACAACTGTTCTAAATTTTGAAATATCCTTCATTTCCATTGGCTATATTTTGCGCACGCACAGTACATGTATCTACTGCGCACGCTCACAGTTGTTCCCCCAGTTGTTTACATCATAGACAATAAAAAATAAAAAGACCTTCAAAAGTATAGCCGAAATAGGTTATACTATTACTGCGCATCCGGTTGCGCATAGCGCATTGCGGAATTTTTGGAAAGCTAGAGACTTACGAAAGATCAGTCCGATCATTCGATTCTGTTTCATCTTTCTCTGTCATACCAATTCACAAGACAAGGACACCGTATGAGTTACAGAGCTTTCCGAGCTGTTTTGTAGAAACCTATCAAACATCCATAACTATAGAAACTGTGACCGAGAAAACAAATAAGTAACCTTAAAATAACGACATTTCCGTGTTGAAATTTGTCATTTTTAACCGATTGGGCGGTCGTCTAAGAAGACTCGAACTCACAAAATCTAAAGAACAAGAAGAAGAAATTGACATTTATATTAAGGCACTTGGTATTGCAGACCTATAATATTATGTACAACTAGGATAAATTGAACCAGTAAGTATACATGTTAGTTTTGTGATATACGTTCAATACGGCATATTTTTGTACTGTTTTGGGAGACCTCAGTCAGAAGAGATAAAATGTAGATGTCAGGCCTTGGCCAGCTTAGCTTGTACATACATTAAAGCATGTATAGTTCATACCAAATAAACTTGTAGTTCTGACATCGATGACGCCATTTTTAAAATCTAGGGACATAAAGCTACTTGAAATAATTCGCCGGTATCGGTATCGGTATCCGTAACGCAACTAGATACGTTGACAAGCGAAAAGGCTGTTAAAGCGCTCCCTGTTCCGGTAAACGTAAACGCATCTCATAACCTGGAAATTTTTGTCCCAAAACTCCGGCGTTTTTATATCTAAACTTAAAATTGTTATTTTTTTTGCGATAGAGAAGCACTAAACACACAAGAAACTTAAGAAAGTATAAACATAAACTAAACAACAAAATCAACCCGGAAGAAAAGTGAGGTTATATTCATTTAAAATTTGACACATGCGTCAGGAATGTCAAGATACGTTACCGATACGGATACCGCGAGAGGGCCGTAACGTTACGTTGTACGTACGGTATCTCCGCCTCCGTATCGCTTCTGCACATGCGCAGTACGATACCGATACGGATACCGAGCAAAAAATACGGAAGCTTTATGTCCCTATTATCGCCAACAGTGAACATATTCGCCGTCGGATTGACTTAATTGAAATTTGAATTTCCCGCTAGCGATTCAGTTGGTAACACCACTTCAAAAAATGTAACGTTGCCAAATTAAATTCTTGACATTTTAAATTTTGATTGCGTTTTGACAGTTTACGTGTTTTTGGTTTAAGTGCAATTTATTATGAGCTTTTTTCTTAAAAGCAGCTTGTAGTGCGAAGTGTACCAGATGCCGAAGCAGCTCAACAGCCGTTGCAAAGAACTAATCGCATCCTTGTTACAATATTTCGAACGAGAACCGGATAATATTGGCTCTTTATGTCCCTTAAATGCTGTTAGGAAGGTGAGTTTACAAGTCGTTGATGTTGTGTGACCAAATAGGAATTTTCAGTTTGAACCTTATTTTCTCACATTTTCAGCGCGTATCAGAGGCTTTGAACTTAAGGATGTCCACTGCCTGTACTATTTCAAAGGCAATCAAAAATAACCAAGTTTTGGAATCGGCTTCTAAGAATCGATGCACTTCGAAGAGAGTCTGTGATGTTTCAAAGCTCGATAGCAGTGCTATACGTAAAAATTACGATATGTATACAAAAAGTAAATCGTTTGAACAAAGGTACGTAGATATCTATGAGTCGCCTTCTTTCTTCTTGTAGGACATCATGTAACATTATCCTGTATATGGGAGCAAGTGAAAGCCAAACAATTATTTGATGGTAGTCGCATGTCATTGAGTAGAATGTTTAAAGAAATATGCTTCAAATGGAAAAAAGATAACCCAAGCCCAAGACGAGGCTCATGGAACTTCCTGATATTGCTGTTAAACGCATATCATTTTTGAGGTCTTATCTAAGACTGAAACAAGAGGCTTTGTACCAGCTTGTTTTCTTGGACGAGACTTGAATGTTTCTAAATCGTACTATCAACCGCTCGTGGCAAGACAACAAACGAAGTGTTAAAACTGCCAAAGTTGATGGTAAAAGGTGAATATAAACATGAATACAGAAAGCAGTTGTATTATATGTACAAATGAAATGCTTTTTTTAGAATATCATACTTCATGCTGGTAATGAAAATGGATTTATTGAAGGTGCATCGCTTGTATTTTCAACGAAAACTCAACTTAGTGACTATCATGGGGAAATGAACCAGCAAAACTTTTTAAGATGGTTCGAAAATCAGCTGCTGAAGAACAATAGTTCGTCTACCAAGGCTGAAATTCAAGATTGGTTAACCGAACAAAAAGTCGAGTATCCAAATACAGCATTGAAATCTGAACTTGTGACCATTATTGCACGGTAACTACCTACAGTACCAAAATTGTATGCATTTTATGCTCAACTTCTCAAGTATTTCTTTTTCAGGAATAAACCAACAAAAAAAGTATGTGGTAGATGACTTGGCACTCTTGGCAGAACAGTATGGACAAAAAGTTTTACGACTACCTTGGCCAGAGATGGTTATACTCAAGATGCTTGTTTAAAAATGTGGCGAGAGGCACTTGAAACTGTTATTTCTCTCTCTTATTTATAGTATTTAGAGTGGCTGTAAATAAAATAAGTACTGAGCGTTACTATTATATTTTTTATAAGGATTCACAAATGAATTGTTATTAAATATCCATTAAACCAAGCTTTGAAACAATGTTTGTAATTGATAAATGTTTGCATTATATTATTATATTACCTATAATCCATTATTGTTTCTGAAAATATTTTGACCAAAGGAAAATATGTAAAAAACGGCAACGCTGTGTTGGCCGAGCTTGACAACCCGACTATAAGTTTATTTGGTATGAACTATATAAGGGATGTAATAACTGTGTTTGTAAACTCTTTAGGTATTTGACCTATCTAGCTATAATATATATTTTTTCTAGTACAATTTAGTGTTTATTTTTCCTTTTTTTTTAATCTATACATCAAAAAATGGCACCAAACTTTATGGAGTACCACGTCATTTTTCTCATTCGGATTTGAGAAAAAAAGATGTGGAACAACATAAGTAGGTACGTTTTTTGTGCAATCAACTCAAGTCAAATTTCAAAATTCCCGCCATTTCAGTATTTGTTCCGGCTGCCACTATTGACGCCACCGTCGCTGTGACGTCAGCGCTATACAACCTTTCATGTTATCAATCAGGTACTCTTACCTTGGTTTATTATATTTCTCTATGGTTTACATTATAAACTCGTAAATGAGCAGCATTATAAGCGTTCTTTGTTTATCTATTTATTTTTGAGATCAGTGGGTCCATTATTTCAACACTTAACTAAATAATTTCTGATAATATTACGTTATGTTATGCCGTTGGTGAGATATTTCTCCGTTCTAGTTCTTTTAAATGAAAAACCATTATTGCCATATCTTTAAAAATTCGAAAAAGAAAAATTTAATAATCTAGACTTTGGTTTGATCAACATTTTTATATGAAAAACTACCATAGTGACGCATTTAATTTAAAAGATTTATCTGAAAAACTGTAAAACTGGCAACGTTGCAAATATTATTTTTAGAACCGGCACTTTTAAAAACTCCTGTATACCAAATGTCATAACGTTGTATCATAGGTTGTATGTTGTATTAAGCTGTTGCTAAAATATTTTACCATTTCAGTTCTTTTAAATGAAAATGCAATATTGCCATATCTTTTAAAAACCACACGAGAAAAATTTGATATTTTAGGATTGTAAACACTTTGGTTTGACCAACATTTTAAATGAAAAACTACCAGAGTTTTGCATTGAAAACACTAAAGTTGAGAAATATATCGTCGGGTTACTGCAAAAACAAGATAACTCCACTATTTACACATTTTTAGTTAAGTGCACTTCTACGCTTAAAAATTGCACCTTCGTCTACTGCGACAACAAGATAAATGTCTTAGAGTTGTAAAGGGTCTATGCGCATGTTCAAAAATAAGGTAAGTCCACTTTGACCAAAATCTATCCAGCTGAAACAAGTTATGTGCATTTGTATTTTATATGAAATCGTTTTATTGTCTATTTAGTATTATTTTTGACTGCAGAAATAAGTTGTGTGGCATTTATCTGTTTTTAGCTGCTCGATTCTGGGAACGAAAATAGTCTTCTGTATTTAAAACAAGCTAATTGCCACTTATCTTGTTTAGGCTGTACTGCTACATGTCGAAATACAATAATTTATTTGATTTAATCCAGATATATGACTTTTAACTTATTTTTGCTGTAGCGGCTATGTATCATAAGCACAGTGTGCCTGTACTTAACTATAACGTTCAGCATTTATCTTGTTTCGGCTGTACATGATAAAAACATAACCCTTAAAAATTGTGTAGGTCGTGGTGATGACACTCGATTGTTTTTTGTTTTTATTAGTTTAAACAGTGAAATAATTGCAAATAATAATGTCTCGAGGGGCAGCAATGCTCAAGATGGTTCTTGAAAAAGAAAAATGTACAGGTATTTTTATAATTAATTTATTTGTCACGATTTTTTTTTGCATGAAAGCTTTGTTGTTTAATAGTTGTTGGGAAAGACACAATACTTAAGAAAACCCCACTTAACTTCACGATGGTGAAGGTTAATCCTTATCTTGAAGAGAAACGTTCAGGGACATTTACTGAGAAAATTGCAGGGTCATCAAGTAATAACAAAGGTACCTACCTACGACTTTTTATTTATTTTTAAATAACTAGTCTATTTTGCGTGCTTTTATTTTGTTAGCAGAAAACGAAGAGATCTCTCCATGTGAGCCTTCGGTTTTGCAGCTTCCTTCTCTGGCAGTTAATTATGATAATGAATGTAGTTCAGGCAACAGACAAGTTTCAGAAGATAATGTAATAGCTGGTCCCTCGACTAAACACAGAGATATCGACCAGAAAATGTCATTTGAACTAGATTCCGATCATGAACGCACTGCTGATGAATTAGAGGGTTTTTTTGAAGATTCCGATTGCTCAGTAAAGGATAGAGACTACGTTCCTGATTCTCCTGATGTTTCTGATTCAGAAACTTCAGATGAAGAATTGCATGGTGGTAAGTTTTTAAAATTTTCTGTGATGTGACATTAGATACTGTGTTATTTAGAACCGGTGAATGACGACGAGGCCCCAACGAATAATAATACTTTGAAAACCCCTATAAAAAAAAGGACCCGTTGGAAGAAATGTGACCCTAGTCAGTGGAAAAAAAATGTGTCTAAGCGTCAGAAAATCGAAGCTAAGACACCCAAACCTATTGATTGCTCAAAATGCCGTTTTAAGTGTATGGATAAAGTTTCGGAAGACCAACGATTAATAATTTGCAAAAACTTTTGGAGCTGCGATTTTAACAGAAGAAAGGATTTTATTTTAAATAATGTTGAAAGTAAGGTTCCTGAAAGACGCAGAGCAAAGTGTGACAGCAAGAAAAAGGCACGGGAGGACTCTAAAAGCTTTTTTTTTGATTCAGCTGAATCAAGAGTAAGAGTATGTAAAAGTTTTTTTATAAAAACACTTTGCATAAGTAAAGAGGTCATAGAGCATGCCTTTAAGAATAGAGGAGAAGGAAGGCTGTTTCGCGGATATGATAAAAGGGGCAAAAAGGAACCTCATAATAAAACCAAATCAGAAGATATTCAAAAAGTCAAAACACACATTGAGAGTTTCCCTGTCATGCAATCGCACTACACCCGAAAATCTACCAAACGGCTGTATTTAGATTCCAAGTTAAGCATAGCAAAAATGCATTCTCTTTACAAAGAAGAATGTGAAAAGGATAGCTCAATACCAGTCTCACTCATAACTTACAGAAGAATATTATGTAATAACTATAACTATTCATTCTATGTTCCAAAAAAAGATCAATGTCAAATTTGCATGCAGTATAAAACTTGTAAAGAATTGGAGAAAAAGAAGCAATTAGAGAACAATTATCAAAGTCATGTCTTGAGAAAAGAAGATTGTAATGCAGCTAAAATTAGGGATAAAGAAAGAGCTTCAAAAGAAAACAATTTTATGTGTTGCACATTCGATCTACAAGGAGTTCTGCAACTTCCAAGTAGTGACGTAAGTCCTATGTACTACACTAGAAAACTGTGTACCTATAATCTAACAATTTATGAAATGGCACGGCCGAATAATGCTTATTGCTACGTTTGGACTGAGACTAATGGAAAAAGAGGTAGTTTAGAAATCGGAACTTGTTTATATCAATACATCGAGCAGCTCTCTGAAACGGTAACTGAAATATCGCTATTTTCAGATACTTGTAGCGGTCAAAACCGAAACCAAAACATTAGTGCCTTATTGCTCTATCTGGTCCAAACAAATCCTAATGTGCAAATCATAGAGCAAAAGTTTTTGGAAAGTGGCCACAGCTACATGGAAGTCGATAGCATGCATAGCTCAATTGAAAAAGCAAAAAAGCATGTCCCAGTTTACACCATCCACGACTGGATGAATATATTTCGCATGGCGAGAAGTTCGAGGTCAAATAAAAAACCCTACCATGTTAAAGAATTAAAATTTAATGACTTCTTGGACCTGGACAAATTCGCAAAACTAATAATGAAAAACAAACTTAAAAACACTCTTGGCGAAAAAGTCAACTGGTTAAAAGTCAAGTGCTTTAAGTATCTCAAATCCAGGCCATGGATTCTTCAGTACAGATACGACCATACATCAGAGTACATGGAAGTGAATGTTCTTGGTAAAGGCCGTCCTTCAAACTTTGACAATTTTGTCCTAGCAAAAGCATACAGTAAACCTAGAACTATAACAAGCTTGAAAAAAGCAGACTTGATAAAGCTCTGTAAAACAGAGGTTATTCCTGTGGAGTTTCATAACTATTATAAATCCTTACCAACATCGAAAGATGCACAGGATGTGGTTCCAGAGCCTGCAGCAGAGGATAGTGACCAAGAGGAGGAATGGACAGATGAGGTCCAAGATGCCTGACTTCAACAAAACTATGACAACCAAAACAAGACAAATGCTGTTTTTTGTTTATAACAAATAAGTGGTGTGACATTTTTTATTACTTCTGTCTTCTTAAGAATTACAAAGTTTGTTTTCAATGTAATATGCAAAAAAATAAATGATTATTGGTATTGATGATTTTTCATGTATATTTTAAGTTTAAAACGCTAATATCTCAAAAACATAAATATGTGACTTATCTGGTTTTGGTAGTAACCCGACGATATAGGAAAAACTGTAGAACTGGCAACGTTGCAAATATTATTTTTAGATCTGGCACTTTTAAAAACCCCTGTATACCAAATGTCATAAGGTTTTATTAAGCCGTCACTAAAATATTTTACCATTTCAGTTCTTTTAATTTTCATTTAAGTATTGCCATATCTTTTAAAAACCACGAAAGAATAATTTGATATTTTGGGATTGAAAACACTTTGGTTTGACCATCATTTTAAAAGAAAAATTACTGTAGCTTAACATTTAAAAAAATAAAGTTGAGAGATCTATCAGAAAAACTATAAAACCGGCAACGTTGCAAATATCATTTTCAGATCCGGCACTATTAAGAACCCCCGCATACCAAATTTTATACCGTTATGTCACACCGTTGCCGAGATATTTGACCGTTCCGGTTCTTTTGGGATACCCTGTATATGTCCTCCTAAGGCAGCTAATCTTCAACAGAGCATGACGTAGAAACAAAAACTTATGATGATGCTTAATTCAGTTCTAGTTTTCGTATCTCGTTTTTGAGACTGCATTTATCATAAGGTATCGAATCGGTATGGCAATTCCGCCTTCTTGTAAGGTTGTAGTTGTAGAATTATTAGGTATTTTTACCATCAGAATTGATAAGCTGTATATTAAATTTTGGATAAGATAGGCCACAAACAATACCTATTGAGGAAGAATTCCAGAGATGTTAATTGAAGAAAAGTGAAAAGTGATTCCTTCTTCTAGACATTTGTCTAGCACGGTAAGGAATTTAATTATCTCGTGATCCTTATCTTTTTTTTACAGTTCTTGAGATGTTTCAGGGCCACCCTAATTCACTCTTATTGATGGGTCCTACTTCTTCTGAGTTTACGTTCAAGATTGATTTCCACAATTCATCTTTCAGGAATGGCTCCATCCATCATTGATTGATTGTAAAATTTGTGTGCTAAAGTTTCTGCATTCCTATATCTTTCGCTAAAAACTTCTCTTCTGATGGCTTTCTTGACTTCTTTATTGTTATTATTATTATAGGTTTGACCAGCAGTAAGTGGTAACGCCGACGAGACTACTGCTGTATTGTTATATCCTTGTTTTCACTGCAATGAGTCACATGTAATGCACAAAATTCAGTCTAGCTCTCTCCAGGTTCCGGTAAAGTCTGTTTTTGAATGCGTTCTTTGTACGAGCATTGACTGATGTGCTTTCCTGAAGAGCGTTCCACTGATTCGTTAGAAAATTCTTTTTGATCAGCTTCTTGGTATGGCCTCGGAGTTGCTGGTTAGTATTTAGACTGAAAATGTCCAGTTGTAAATCAGGAGAATAATGGTGATTTAGGATTTTGTACGTCTCAATCAAGTCCCCTCTCTCTCTCGTCTAGCTTTTAGGGTTGTTATGTCGTATCTCAGTAGTCTTTCTTCGTATGAGAAATTTCTGATTGTAGGAGGAAGTTTTGTCACTCTACGCTGGACTCTTTCCAAAATCTCAATGTCCATTACCAGGTATGGGCTCCAAACCGAATGTGCGAACTCCAATTTAGGTCTTATATATGTTTTATATAATATATATTGTCAACTACTTAAGTAAATACCACTCTGTACATCAATTTTACTAAAGTGTGTCGACGAGTCAGCATTTATTTGGTATAAATAATGCGCCGAAATCCATTACCGGCAGACGAAGGCCAGTGCAAAGTACCTCAAATGGGAAAAGCCCTTCTAGCTAAGTCTCCTCCCAGTGCAAACTACCTTTAATGGGAAACGCCCTTCTGGGAGTATTGAACGCAGCAGACTAGGTCCAGTGCAAACTACCTTTAATGGGAAACGCCCTCCTGGACCTGTCTCAAACCTACCTTCTTCTGGGAGTATTGAACGCATCAGACTAGGTTCAGTGCAAACTACCTTTAATGGGAAACGCCCTTCTGGACCTGTCTCAAACCTAGCTTCAGTCTTCAGTCACGCCAAGTGTACAGAGGGTACATAATACAGAGTGGCCTATAAGTAATACGTCCCTCCGTAGAAGAGACGTCATGATACCATTTCTAGGGTAATACTATTATTAATCAATACACATCTTATTATACTTATACCAAGCGAGTTTCTCTCTACTCGAACCCCACCTACGCCCCCAAGTCACGCTCCTGTTGTGACGTTCCAGGACGAAACGTATAGGGGTTGCGACAATATTTTGCTAATCATATGGATACATCTGTCATTAAAAGCTTTCTGTATGAGGTATACAAAAGAGTTTGTCCTCTTGACAACTGAAGAAATATGGGTTTCATATTTTAGCTGATTTGAGATAATGACACCCAGATCTTTCTGCTCAGTGACAGCTTTCACGGTAGTGCCGTTTAAGCTGTGAGGTATGTATGGATTGTAAGGGCCAATATACAGTACATACAGTGCACTTGTTGGGGTTGAATGTTAACTGCCATTCGCTGATCCATTTCTCGACTGTTTGCAGGTCATCTAAAAGGTTGTGATGCTCCAAGTACGGATTGCAATATATTTTTGTGTCATCAGCATAAAAAATGATATTTGTCTTTATAAGAGACTAAAGATCGCTGATGTATATGGTAAACAGCAATGGCTCTAACACCCATCCCTGTGTGATTCATCATAGTAATGCCCATATGCTCTCACTTGAAAGGTTCGGTTTTGTAGACAACTACCTATCCATCCGAGGAGCTCACCCCTGATTCCGGAGTGTTGCAGTTTGGATAATAACCTCTTGAATGCCACTTTGTCAAATGCCTTCTCACAGTGTAGGTACAGTACATCCACCGGATGGCCACTGTCGACTTCTTTCGTCCATGCATTTATGCAGGTGAGTAGGTTGGTTGTGGTTGATCGTTGGAGGAGAAAACCGTGTTGAGTGGGTGGAATGGTCTTGTTTTCAACAAGGAAAGATGTCATTTCCTGAACTATTATTTTTTCCATGATCTTGAAGAGGTTACAGGTAAGGCTGATTGGTTTGTAATTTCCAGGGTTGAGCTTGTCTCCTTTTTTGCTCGAAACCATCGATGTGGTACAGTTTGCTGAGTGATTAGTGACTGCAAGAGCCTGGTTATTACTGGAGCCAACATCCATTGGCAATTTATTAAAAATATTGTCGGTATTTCATTCGGGCCTGGACTAGATTCTCTTTTCAGAGTAGAGATTGCTTGAATAACCTTTTCCTCAGTGACATCTATAGTTGTTAATGATTCAGTAGATCTAGTATTCTGCAATAGCGATGGAAAATTTACTAGGCTTTCTCTGGTGTATACCTTCACAAAGTGATCCGTGAATATTTTATCTGTCTTCTGAGGATCAGAGATAATCACTCCTGTGATTTTTCCTCTGAGCACAAGCTCGGATGTTGCTGTTTAATGTTCGCTTAACATACGTATAAAACTGTTTCTCGTCTCTGTTGTCCAAGAGACCATTTTCGTATTCTATTCTGGCTGCTCTGATTGTGATCTTTAAGATGTTATTTTGAGTTCTGTACAAATTGTATTTATCTGCTGTTCTGTTCTTGGTGTATTTATCCCAAAGTGTTCGTTTTCTCTCGATGGCTCTAAATATTACATTATGATTCACAAGCTTAGGTTTGAGTGGGATATAGGTTTAAATGGTTCTGAGATCATTTTTTTGTCAGTTACCAGCAGTAAGTCCAACAAAGATGATTGAGCGCCCAGAAACCTTGTGTCGTCTCCCGTGACTAGCTGTATACAATTCCATTTCTTGTAGGCATCAATAAAATCCACAGCGTTAACACTGTTTTCTTTCAGTGTAAGACTTTTCCAGACAATCTCAGGAAAGTTAAAGTCTCCCCAGATAACAGCGACTATGTTTTTCTCAAATGTTTCTTTGAGAGTGTCTAGAAGCCTCCTGGTCTGTTCCAATGTGATATGATGAGGCCTGTGTATACAGACCAGAGTAAACTTTATGTCTGATATTTTGATATTTAGCTAAACAGCGGTAATGTCTGTGGGCGCCCTGGATTTGTGGTTTATGTTCGCGCAAATTTTTTGCCCACTGATTTCAGTTTTTATCCAGATGCAGACTCCTTTTTCTCGTTGATTCTTACGTTCATCCCTGAACATATGATATTCAGGCTTTTCAAGCTCTGAAGTTTTGCATTAAGATATTTTTCTAAACTACTATGTATTCTTGCTTATCACCTAAATACGTCATCGAAATACTAAATAAAGAAAGAAAAACACTGTTAGAGGCTTCAAGAAAGGTCAACACTACAAAAACCGAAGTCACAACACTCAAGGATAAACTTAACAAAACAAAGAAGACATTAAAAAGAATTATTCTAAAAATAACACTTCTCTATCTAAATTTATGCGACTACCATATATAGTTTTCAATGAAAACCACCAGACTTTTCTTTCAGTTTATTTCTTTAATTAAACACATATAAAAGGAGTAAATTTAGATAAGTATGCACTTGTTAATTGGACGAGTTTACACCCGGATCTGGAATAGGGAATGAAGCTCCTCTGAAAAACGCAAGAATAATCTCCCAAAATTTTTCAGTAAAGCTCAGATGAGTAAGAACATATTATGGATTCTCACATTAAGGTTTATTACAGTTAGCCCTATGATCTAACGTTAAGTATTTCAGTAGTTTCTAAGAAATAATCATTAACCTTGCAGAACTGTCGGGATGAGTATTACTTATTCATTGCACGATTAAAATACTAGCAGTAAACTCAACCAATTCATAGATATCATTGAAGAAAAAAAAATGATTGACGGCCTTCATTCAATGATATTCGAAACCAGGAAAATAATAGTATGATATGACGTCTTAAGATTAATGGCTTTTTCAGTAGAAAAAAGTGCAAAAGAAATAAGTTAATAATATACTGTAACAGTGATGTAATGTTTCAAGAAACACAGAATGATGGTTTTTAATCACGAAATTTTCTCTACTTAAGCTAGAAACTCAGTCATCCTTTTTAGTTCCTTAGAATTTCTTGATCCGCATCCTTTACATTAGTTTGTAGGAGTCTAATTCAATACAAATATTATTCAAATTCCTGAACCTTGCACCGCTCACATAAATTTAATCTAGTAAATAATTAACATTACATCAAAACTAATTGATGGAGACATTAATTTACCAATAATGCTCGCACGACAGACTGAGGTACTATATTTTACTACGTGATATTTACGTTTTCCGATTATTTATTTATATTACAGGTACGTTTTACCTTGATTCTGGTTTTTTCTTCGATGTACTTCCTTAGCGTCGCTAAAGGTCCCTTAGTGGCCTCCATTCTGGTGAATACGTCTGTGAATATACGTGTCGGTTTTTTCGATTGGATCGGTACTGTAACAAGAACGTTTTATGATTCAATAAAATTGATTCAATTAAGGAAAAAATTGAATAATGTAACTTTAAGGATTTGAAGAATTATATCTGTAAAAATTGAGATTATTTAACAACATACTATGTTTGGTACAGTTTCAGTTTCTACCAATCCAGTACTGGTAATACAACATCTAAATTAAACTATGAAACGCAAACTAGAAGTCTATGACTAGATACCTATTGTAGGCTTATTCTGGGGATAAGCAAAGGCCGCCAAAGAAACGAGTTTGTACTAGAAGATTCAGCCTAATAAATTGAGGAAAGCTGCTAATAAAGGGCACTTTCTTGTCATACGTGTACCTATGAGGTCTGTATACTGATATAACAATGGTAGAATTCCAAAGTGATAAAAGTAGTGTAGTTAGTAGAGCAAATTTCTGCACCATAATCTGATATGTAATTCTTCCCAATATAGTTGGAAGTTAGTGTAACGGAGCTTGACTTATGTGCTTTTTGGTCTTGGGAGGTCGCTAACTCTAATGGAAAATATCTTAAGATCTCCTTCGTTTTCTTATAATGTTCTAGACCGCATTCAAATTTTCTCTTAATAAATCCTTCTCTAAATATCCAACTCTCTTTCTATCGACTCGTTATCTATGCTGGCGAACTTATCTAGGAGACGTTGACCCTTTGCAGCCACTGAGCCTGTGTGTTTGGAAAAATTGGCAACCCAGGCGTTCTTGGAGCTGGGTCTTATACTGGCCTTATTTTTTCGAATACCAAACCAGAGAGGGAACAGAAACATATTTAAGCGTTCGAAATGCGAGAGATTTATGGGTGCAGATGAAAAATAGACATAATAATTCAGTTTCTTTTAGTGTGAGTAGAAGGCAATTTTTTCAAGGGGTTTAAACGTGAGAAACTAAGTTTTTTTAGTGGTGACAAATTCTAAATCTGCCCTAAAAAATACACTGATAGAGATTGTCTTTACAATAGAATCATTTTAAGATACCAAAATCTAAATTATTTGGCCCTCAAGATGACACAGATCTAGTGAGAAAACGATGGCTTTATAATTTTAGTCTAAATAGGGTATTGGTAACAATATCACTTATCTCTATCATGCATGCCCATTGTCAAAAGAAAATATTCAAAATACAAGAAATACATACATCCTCAATCTTTGCTCTTATATTATAATCAATTTTTTTCCTTCAAACAGCTGTTAGCTATTAATAAAATAGGTATCTTGGAACAATTGAAATGTATTTCTTCGGGTGCCCCATCGTTCGCTGCATCTCTTTTCCATAAAACCCGGTATATAAATAGCCAAAGAATCACCTCTTGGAGTGGAAAGTAGGCCAAATTGTGGGCGCAAGCATCTTGCCATCTAAATTTAGCCCATTTTTAGCGGCATTAACGTGTTGAAGTCAATGTCCTCGGGTGATAAACTGGAAGCGAACTCGATTATTTCGGTTCTTGCGTAATCCGTGTCTTTCTTGTGGATGAGTCTCTGTTATCTCTTTTTGTTTTTTTTCTTTACGTTCCATTATCCAGGATTATCCAGTTTGTTTGATTTCGTTGATTTTTTGTCTCAAAGATGAAATAGATTAATTTTTTCAACATCTCTTTATAACAGAATTATAAATAAATGTTTCTGTTAAACATGATGTCTGTATCGAAGATTAATAGATACAAACACATTTTTGGCAAATATTCAGAGAACCAATATTCTTTTAAATGGTATACCTAGTGGTAGTTTTTTCGGCATGTAAATAGATAACCAAGATTAATCAAGATAATCTATTTTCTTTGAAAAAAACCTTCATTCACATCAGCAATAATAATGGTAGGTGAGTATAATTTATCACTCCAAGTGCGTTATAAAATATAGATTCCATGGACGTCAGGTTAGACAAAAAAAAACTAATTCCTTGGCCCCAAAAAACCCATACAATGAAATTAATAATTAGGTAATAAATTTAATTTCCATGCAGCGCAAAACATACAAACATGCTGGCATAATCTTATTTTGTTTATGAAAAAAGTAGCACCACTGAAATGTGCAAGGTATTCAGTTGATGCTCAAATTAGGCGAAGTTGCATTTTACACACTTGACATGAGTTTAATCTTTACTTATGGGTATACTTCTTTGCTTAGCCATTATGTGAGAACGTTGATTCAGTAGTGGTGGGTTTGTGAGACTTAAATTTAAGTTCTCAATATATGACAAATCCATAACCATTATCTCGGTTGTTTTGGGATAATTTCACAACAGATGCGGTAGCGAAATTTTGTTATGATTAAGTACCTAGGGAATGATATCATTTATGACGAATCAAAACTACTTAGTCAGAAATAATCTCAAATACCATAAAAAAAATTGCGCCACAATAAAATTTTTATTATTCCAGGGAACATTTTTAACAACAACTCGGATTTCCATGCCGTCAATTCAATAGGAATAAATTTGCCAATAATAGTCAATAATATTGTTTGTTCGGTTATTGCTATTATAGACTTTGAGTAAATAGTACTTTCCTGGTCTACAAAAATGATAATTTACAGCACAATAAACAAACAACTACTGAGGAGAACCCCAAAATTAGGTTATCTTGCGCCTCCACCTTTTACAAGTTTGAATATTAGTTAGTGCTCAAGATTTTGTTTGGAATGAATAATGATGTTTCCCAAATCAAAGATAAATAAATGCATATTTGATGTCATTATACCAATGGTTTAGGCACAAGTAAGATGTAGAAACTCATATGCTTTAAATATTAGATTTAAAGAGATGGGCGAAATAATTTCACACTAGAAGAAAATAAACACCACAATATTAAGAAGCTACAAATTAATTTGAAGTAAGCTAATAATTATAAAATATTTAGTGCTTTGCTCGGTACTTTATTTAAAGTGTACTATCGCGAAGTCTTTATACCACCTACCAAAATTTGCATAGAAACTTGTTCCTTTTATTTGATAAATATTTCCCATAGTTCTTCGGACTTTATTTGAACTTCCTCTGACTTCCTTGATACTTCCCCAAACTTCCTTGGGTTTGTACAAATTTCCCCAAACCTTCTCTCTCTTTGCATTTAAACATCCTCACAATTTCCCAGATCTCCAACTTCCCCGTTACTTCTTCTACACTTTCTTGGCTTTTGGTGAAAATTTGCTGCAAGTGGTTTGTCCCTCACTTTATACCATAATGGTGATTCATTAAACAATTTGGCACTTTCTCAATCAGCAGAATTTCAAGGGCCAAATGACTTCCATGTCTGATGCTGTACATATACATATTCACTGCGAGTTTGGTGATGGTCTTGAATCTTGATTTACTTTCAAATGTACTATGTTATAAAACACTTAAAGCTTAGATGTTTTCTCTATCTCTAACTTTGAAGAATGTCCACCCAGTTGTAAGTTTTCACTAAGTTTAAACGGAATCGCAGAATCTTTATAGTAGCCATTAAAAGTTTTATAGGTCCCTATTAAAACAACCCTCAGTCTCCTGACTTTCAATGTTGCTAAGTTTAGTTCCGAGAGGCGAAATTCATAGCTGTTATTATATAGTCCTTGTGGACTTCTAATAACTCTCTCCTGAATACGTTCCAACATTTCTATATCCTTATTTATTTATTTATTTATTTCCACTTCCAACAGGCAGCAGCCCAATTTTACAGATATTGCCATAATAATAATATTAATACTAATAACAAACCACATATAAATAAAAAATTTAAAAAGAGTACAATAAGATATTTTTCTCCAAACGTCAAAAAAACGTCACTTTGTTAATGCCTATCAAGATATCAGAAATGTAATTTCTATGCTGCTAGGCAAATCCAGCGGGTTAACACCTGTCGAGGTGGTAGAAATTTAATTTCTATGCTGCTAGGCAACCGCAGCGGCAGTAGAAGTACTTTTAGTGCCGCTGGAGCAGCAGCAAAAGTACTTTTAGTGCCGCTCGTACTTTTACTGCCGCTCAACCATTCAGTTACCCCCGAGCTTACCCCATTCGTTTGGAGAAAAAATAGCGTGTTGCATACGGAGTAGAAGCACTTTTTTGTGCTTCAGCAGTATTGCAAGCCTCACTACGTTCGGCTCGCAAACCTACTGCTTCACCACAAAAAAGTAAAGCTTCTACTCCTAATACAACAATATACTATTCTAAATTAAAAAGTTGAAAGGACAACAAAAAACAGCCAAAAACAGAGCTCAGAGTAAATTGGCCATAAGAGGTACGATGTCTCTCCAACGAAAAACAGCGCACAGTTCTAAAATTTCTCACTGGGACAACTCAATGGCTTGACAAACAATGTTGTAAAATAAATCTATATCACTGTCGATACAAGAATCTAAAACTACATCCCTATATATATTCAGCAGTATTTCACTGACTGCATTAAAATTACATTTACAAAAATGATAAATTTCATCTTCAAAATCTAAAAAATCACAGATAGTATCACATTTAACATTAATTAATAAAGCACGATGATGCCTACCACACTTGATAAAATATGGGTTCCATATAGTATGTGCATATTCCAATTTAGGACGTATAGATGACGTGTAAACTTTCAAGACAAAATCTGTTGAACGATCCACAAATACTCGTTTAATTTACTAAGAGTCTGCTCTCTTGGCGACCTTGCTATGTGACTTTCCCATCAGAACTTCAAGGTCCTCCTGTTCTCGCACATGACTTAAAACTCTATCATTTATGATATAAGGCAACTCCACACAATTGGAAACCACAAAACTAGAATTTTCTTCATTTAGTTTCATCCTCCATTTGTCACACCACAGTTATATTTTTTTAAATATCCTTTTGAAGATCCTCATAATTCGTGTCGGAGTTTGCATTTAGCTTTGTGTCATCAGCATAAAACACAATTGATGATTCTATATCTGCTGCTAGGTCACTGATGTAAACCATGAACAACAATGGTCTAACGAACGTACCCTGAGGAACTCCACTCAACACTGTGTGAAACGAAGACAGCGCGCCATTCACTCTGACCCGATTATTTCTGTTTATTGGGAAATCAAGTAAATGACCATAATGACTAAGCTTATGAATTAGAAACTGGTGCGGTACCTTGTCAAAGGCCTTCTCACTTGTTTGCCCTGATCAAAACTTTTAGTCCAGGAGTCCAGGCCAGATATCAAGTTGATAACAATCGATTTTTTTTAGAATAAAACAATGAATCGTGCTGGTGCTTAGAGATCGCATTATTTTCCTTCAGGAACGGCGTGAGGTCTTTGACGATAACTTCTTCAATGCATTTGAAGAAATTGCAGGTCAATCTGATTGGTCGATAGTTATGTACCAGATGTCGATCCTCCATCTTGTATAATAGTGTGACTATTGTTAGTTTGCAAATGTCACGAAGATAACCACGTTCCATGATTTCATTTATCACTTTTGCCCAGGGAAGACCGATCGATAATTTACATTTCTGCAAAAATATGTTACAAACAATTCGCGCACGTGTTCTTTGGAAATCCTAATGGTTGTTTTATTTATGTCTGCGTAAGGTAAGGGAGGCAGCACAACATTTTCTTCAAAGACTTTATTAAACTGTTCAGCAAAGGCTTTGCCGATTTCAAAATTACTTGTTATAAATTGGTTTGTATCAACATCCCAATGATATACATCTCGATATACATGTATATTACAATGATTTATTTTTTCTCAAAATGATTTTGTGCTCAATATAACAAGTTTTTTCACTCGGTTTTGTATTATTAACCTCCGAGATTGTTAGAGCAATAAATGCATTAATAGCGCTATCAAGTACTTCCATGCATCTTCTGCATCTAATAATAGTGAGAGAGTTTCAATTGTTTTGAAATTATGTCAAATAGATTTTTGTATTCTTAAATATTGACGACATAAAAAGATTCAACTTTCCCAAAAATCATATAAAAAACAGGGACTTCCATTTCAAAAACATCTCCTCCATGGCGCAAAGTTTTTTGTTTTCAGTTCAAATGTTTTTTTGATACAATATTTGAATTCTGCAGCAAAAAAAAAACTTTCCACATGCTAGATGTGGAGAAGTGAAATTATTTTAATAATCACCAAAGTGCCAAAATGTCGAGACTTGTGACTATATTCACGTATTACGTAAACTACGTCAGTCATAATGTCATACTACTCTTTTGTCAACTTGTCTTATCATGCTTCGCAGAAGCTTTTGTCTTTCTAATAATAAAATCTGATTATTCTTTTAAAGAATTACATATGTAGTTATAAACACTAGCTTGATGTATTATCAAGGAATTTTATTTTGTCTTGATTAGACAGTATTGTTTGGTAATAAGTAATTAGTAGTATTATGTGTGTATTATAATTATACTCTCATTGTAGTTATATAATATAACTCCTAAGCCTTTGTCAACATTATTTTTGACTATCAATGGATGTTGTGGAAAAGATAGGAACAATAATTTATTTTTTACCCAGAGAAATGGATCATCCACAATCTTACTCCACTGAAATTCAATTAATTTCCATCACAAGAACTAACATTACTTTTCCATGTTTTGGAAACTCAGAAACCCATATTTTCCCTGATAGCTTTTGGTTTATTTTTTCCTGACAAATCGTCTAACAAATAAACCTCTAGCACACTGCTGTAAGTTTTTGTCCCTATGGTACAACTTGCCAATTCTCTTGAGAATTCTCTCGGAAGTAAGTTATTATTATTCCTCTTATATTCCACATTCCTAAATTCCACAAATAGAACTGCAAATAATTTCTTCTGTAATTTTCGCTTTCCTCTATGGTTTATCTGAGGGTTCACCCACCTCTAAACTTAAGCTCTTTAGGTATAACAACTATAAACTCTAGTATAGGTACTCTGCTAAATGCAACCTAAATATCACTCAGGTTACATTATTTTTGTTATTATGAGCATCTATATCTCCAAAAAACGGCATTATTGAAAATTCTGAAAGAGAAGGGATTTTTGATTAAAAACATCAAAGTCTTCTTTACCGCACACTTTGCAGTCTACTCGAGAGTCTACTTTACCGTTACTATGCGGTAAAGTGCTACTTTCCAGTTGCAAATAAGTGCGCTCAAGTGTACTTTCCGCATGCTCGTAGGTAAATACTGTGATAAGTATAATAACCGCTATCACTGGGTAAATTCATAAATGGTTGAGTTGGTAATAAGGGGGTATAGTATGTGATTACAGTGACTCTATAACCCACAGTGGCGACAATTGCTGTCTCATTTTTGATTGGTTCTAAAATGCCATATATTTATATTGAAAACGCCGCCATCTTGTTCCCAACCCCTTGTTACTTTTAAATATGAATGAATATATGGGATTGGTGATCATCCATCATAAATCATGGAAAACAACGTATTTGATGGACCTAATAATGGTTATCAAATACGTCGATTTCAATTTTTTATGATAGATGTCCATTTAAATCCCATATATTTAAAAGTAACAAGAGGATGGGAACAAGATGGCGGCGGGACCTCTATTGTCGCCACTGTATGTAAAGGTTTATTGAGCCACTGTATATATGATTACAGTGACTCTATTACTACAGTGGCGACAATTGCTGTCTTATTTTTGATTGGTTCTAAATTCCCATATATTTATATTGAAAACGCCGCCATCTTGTTCCCAACCTCTTGTTACTTTTATATATGAATATATGGGATTTAAGTGAACATCCATCATAAATCATGGAAAACAACGTATTTGATGAACCTAATAATGGTCATCAAATACGTCGATTTCAATTTTTTATGATAGATGTCCATTTAAATGATATATAATAATATTTAAAACTAACAAGAGGTTGGGAACAAGATGGCGGCGGGACCTCTATTGTCGCCACTGTATGTAAAGGTTTATTTAGCCACTGTATATATGATTTGGTCGAGGCGCCATCTAAGACTAGAATACAGCACTGCACTAAAAACATTTTGCTGTATTAGTACTGATCATCAATAGGCGGACCAAAAATCAGTTTCAGTCAGTCAGGGATATGCAAGGATAATACACATTACTACTAACTAATCAAAATTAAATAATATTTTTCATCATGCATTTAAATTCTAAACTACGACCTCTAGTGCAAAGAGCTGACGACTTGTTAATGACGTCAGAAATGGTGACACACCAATATGCATATGGCGCTGATTACCAGAAACGAGACCGATAAGCAATCCGAATTCCGAGTAGTGTGTATTATCCTTGAGGGATATGTATGTTTGTAAACAATCCACCATAACCTCATTTTCGAGTACCAAGTTATATTTTCACAAAACTTCGTTTAATAAGATAAATATGCTTGAAATATCGCAATAACACAACTTACACTGGTGAGGTAACCATCTCCTAGCAGGCAACTCCTTTGGAATTTCCTTTTTCTTCTCGTTCGCCGGTCTGTTGTAGTGCGAATGCCACATAGCCAAATTATCGAAGGTTTGAGCGTCGGGCTTTGGAATTTTCGTACGTTCACTAGTGAGAAACAATAAAGGATCGAAATTATCACTGTAGAAATTCAGACGATCGTCTTCGTCGTCTGTATTTACAGGATTTTGTCTAGACGGTCCCGGTTTCTCAGACATTTTCAAGGCAAACAAAATAAAGCTAGACGCCTGTTGCTTGCCTTGCTGCCTGGCTGAATCTGGGTTGCTAAGCGACCGCGCGCGGCCGTGCGCACATTTTCAGGGTATTTCAAAAGTACAGGGGCGCGTTCGATAACAACGTTATTGGTTTGGTTTTGTCAAAACTCAAATATTTTACTCTAGAGTGCTGCAGAGCGGACGCTAGAGATGTACAACAAAACTGGATTTTTAACTTTGATCGGTTATAATGACCGATTATTTCTATTTCACTCCAGTAGTTAATCAGTTATTTAGTCGAAAACTCCATAACCGGACGCATACTTGATTTTGTTTTAGAAATCTAAGTTTTCATATGAGTTTTTGTTCCGGATATTATTTTGTATTGTTTTGTTTGTATTCTGAAAAAAAAATCGATTAAACCGGATAAAATGATCGGTTTTGCTCTAAAATTAACCGTTTAGATTCTACAGCCTGTCAAAGTTGCAAAAAAGTCAATTTTCAACTGTCAATATTTCTGAAACAGTTGAAGATTAGGTATAGGACATGATGCATGAAACATGTACAGAATTTAACGTAGAATTTGAAAATGAAATAAAAAATTGCTGTTTTCATTTAAATAAAGTTAGCTGTCATAACTTGTTTTTGGGTCACCCTGTATATATGGTATCGTCATCAGAAAAACGGCCAATAAAATCAAAAATTGACGTGTCCCAGGTTTTTTGAAAAATATCAACCCTGTATATTTAATAGATTTTATTCCAACCTTTACGTGCTCACTGTATAACTCCGTTCAAGAACACTCCAACAAACAGGATGCGTGTCGGCAGCTGCTGGTCTGCGGGTGACGTCACCACTAGCAGCAGCTGATATGATTGACTTCACCCGCAGACCTCGATGGATTGCTTGCGATTCAGACTATGCTCTTGTGAGTTAATTTATTCGTCGATGTTGAATATGGAAAATGTGATTTTAACGTTTAGGCATTCGTTTTTGACCTATACTGTTTTTAACTAGAATAATGCATTTTACGTCAAAAGTTGAGGTTTGCCGCTGACGTCACAAATAGTGGGGAGTTGTCGCGTGGACATGGCAGACATTTTCTCATTTTCGGCTCGATAAGCAGCCCTTTGGGTTCCGCAATAAATTATAACTACACGACACTGGAACAGGCGTGATAAATGCTGGTACACATTTCACTGGGGTTCCGTTGGCTCCTTTGATCACTGATTCGTCAATTGCCATTTATGTCAACTGTCAAAAGTACATACTTTTGCACGAGTTTGACACTGTGATGTAACGGTACTCCATGATCAATTTGCTTGCTCCTCGGCCTCCGAGCATCAACCCAAACGCAGCCACAGGGAGTGCACCATGTGAAGCCAAATATAAACGATTTTACTATCGAATCTTGGATTCAGAATCCGGGCCCAGTACACCAATCGATGATTCCAAGTATAAAATGTAACAATCAAGAATATCCTATGAACGCAACATTTTTTTTTCATCCCGCACCATGATGTTTCGAACGCAGTGCAAATTGTTTGGGAACTGCTGGGATACCAGAGAATCGGATTCTAGGAATGCAGTTGTTTACGTCTAGGAGCACGTCTCGTCTGGGAATTCTATTATATTGGATAAACCTATTTTTGTTTGGTCCTTTTAGACGTCTGCTTACGTAGACGTCTTAAAAACATCTGAAAACGTCGTATCTTACAAAACCCAACGTCTTCCAGACGTCTGCCTAAACACGTCTTCAGGACTAATATTTCATTATTATTACTCATTTTAACTGTCAATTTGTTTCTGTTCCAGTTTTTGAACGTTCTAAATGACTTATTGAAGTTCTAAAAGTGTTCTAACTTGGCTATTGGAGAGTTCTGGAGTATTTTAGAATTTATTCAGTTATTTCTAAATTGTTCTGACAGTTTTTTAAGTACCTATTTTAGAACCCTATATTGAAGTTCCAAAGTGTTCTAAATTGGTTTTTAAGAGATCTTAGAGGTTTCCAGTTCTAAATTGAGTCCTAATGATTCTGAAATAACTCTGAAGTTTCTAAATTGTTCCAATATGCTCTTAAAAATTCTGATTTGGATTTGAACTTTCTTGGATACTTATTATCTAAAGGTTTAAAAGTTCTACAACAATTTAAATTCGCTCTTGAACACCTTTTGAAAGGCGTTTTGTAACTTTTAACCTGAATCCTAAGATTCTGGCGCTCTTCAAAAAGTTTTGAGTGTTTTGGACCGTCCTTAAATGGGTTTCAAAGTCATTGGTTTCAAACTTCTGAATTGTTCTAAAATGCTTTTGGAAATTGTAAATCGGGTTTTGAATGTTTTGGAGCATTCTAAAATGGTTCTGAAGTTTCCAAATTGTTCTGAAGTCTTTGAATGCTTTTGGAAATTCGAATTTTAGTGTTTTGAACATTCCAAAAGGCTTATTTAGGTCCTAAAGTGTTCTGTAGCATTTGAAATGGTTTGCTTGCAGTAACACAGATCACCTAATACAGATGCGAAAGTATGTATACTTGCTGTCGACGATATTCTGTGACGAAGCCGGGCCGCCAGCGGCCCCATGCATAGATAAAGATCGCCCGCGTCAGGACAATTAACGTGGCCAAGTGCGTGAGCATGTTCCAGCCTGTGTGTTTACATATTTTTGAGGGTAGAAAAAAATATTTTTTTGCTGTTTGTGAACCAATTAAAGAAATAATATTATATTATTGAGCTTCCGCATTTATATAATAAATATGTTCAAAATACATTGATGTGGCATTGGTGCGGCCAGCCTATGTCTATCAAATTAATCTTGAACCACGAATTCGCCGCTCTTTCGCATCTGTATGTAAGTAATCTGTGGCAGTAACTTCTAAATTGAATGAGAAACAAATTCTGTGGATAGTTTTTGTAGACATCTTAAAAACGTCTCTAAGATATCCACAAACGACATTCAAGACGATTTTTAAACGTCTGCTCACGTATTCAAGGCATCTAGCTAGAGACGTTGTATGTTACAAAACCCAATGTCTTTCAAACGTCTGCCTAAAAACGTCTTTATGACATTTTTCCAAGACATTCTAAAGACTTCTTCAACAAGATATCTTAAAGACGTCTTCGAATCTCTTTTTAATACGTTCAGACGCAATGAAATCCTAAAAACGACGTCTTTAAGACTTTGTGTGCTGTCTGATGGATACTAGACTAGTTTGAACTAATTAGTGGAATATTTAATTACAAGTCAATTTCAATGTGTTAGAATCTGATGGCAACAGATTTATATTTGTTACATTGCATGGCCCTGCCCTAAGCTACATCTTCACCAAAGCAATAATTATTCAACACACTACAACAACATGTGTCACATCATGTTTTGCTCTATATAATGGTGTTGCGTAAAACAAAAGTTGATGTTTGTTGAGTGGTTCGCTTTGAAGATATAACAAAAATGTGAAATACGGGCCAATATTCAGCAATACATAAACAAAAAAGTCGCTGTGGATGCTTCGTTACAAGAAGTTGCATTTGGTCTATCAGGGGATCTATTTTTTCCCAGTGAAAATTCCATATCAGAACTAACGGAGAAAGTTTTCAAAACTGCCATCTGAATGAAGATCGTCTTCCCGCAAATCTTTTAACAACTCATGTCCCCCTTTGTATTTTTCGATGTTTTAAACTTGGAGTTTGGAGAACAACCAATTGGAATTTGTTCTTGACTCTTGAGGCGATAGCTGAAATATCTAGTCCAAAGAGCTTTCGGACTTGACACACGATGTTGTATCCGGTTGTATGTTCAAAAAACAAATATCAACCAACAACATCCAACAATGATGTTCTATTGGAGATACCTTGTTGGCCAAAGATGTTCGACCCATTTTGCATATGTCCAACTAAGTTGAACGAACGATGTTGTTCTGTGTTGCTTTGGTGAATTTATCGAATTTATTGTTTCAAGTCATGGAACATAAATTATAAATAAATGTAAACGAAATACCTTTTACTCAAAACAGGCAAAACTGCATAATAAAAACAACTTCTTAAGGAATCTACTTAATAGAAAGCCTTACGCAACAGCATGTAATTTAATTTTACTTTCACGCAAACGTAAAATAAATAAGTGGATTTTAATTTCTCTTAAGCGATGTTATGGAATATTGCACAACCGCATTACATTGTGCCTGTTTGGAGCTGTTGCTGATTTTTTTATCAACAGTTCGATGCGTTTTCAGCGAAAGTAATAATTTTTCGTACGTCTTGCAGTGTTTGTATTACCTACTTACATTGTGAGAAATGATTGATTGTGATTGTAGCAAAATTATTCATAAGCCAATTGCATAATAATGGAAGACTATATAGCCATACCTATGTTATTGTAGCTGAGCTGTGGCTTAACTAAAGAACCAATACTTGACATCAAAGATCATTTTCCTCATTCGTCACAGTCAGTGCGAACATCGAATTATTTCATGGGAAAGTATTGTATTTAAATCTCCATATAGGTATTAAAAAGTGGTGAGTGTACCCAGTATAGCTTATTTATTTATGTAGATATCTTACACTTTCAATTTTATTATTAGATATCTATAATTACTATAATTATTATAAACAACAGCAAGTGAAACATACGATAAAACTGTGTAGATATTATAAAAATAGGTACTACTAAACGGGTTCCACTTTCCACTTGATCCTCTACAGAGAATTGGACTGGTCCTATATTCCTCCATCATTTCTTTCTTGGAAATCTAGAACTATCTCTTAATTCTCTTACTATCAACCTGATCTTTTAACACCAACATAATAGTGAATTTCAACAGTTGCATAGGGTAGGTTCCATAATTCTAAAAATCACACTTTAAATGTCTGCCTTCACACAGAGACATGTTTTTTCAACGTACTTACAGCTTTGGACTAGAAGAAATATTCAAAGAATAATGACAGAAAAAAAAAATCTGCAAATTGCTTGGTGATTATTTGCTCAATACATTCGAAAAGCTTATACATGTGAGACCCATATCGATATCTCATTTTCTTAGGTCCGCAGATACATTTTTCTGGAAAAGCTCCATTACGCATTGACGCCTCCCATAGCTCTAAATAGTTGAGAATTGAGTGTACATACCTAGTTGAAGAAATATTAGACACTTACTTTCTCAGAGGGAATTTGGGGTTGTGGTTCCCTTTTAGTGAAGATGTTGCTGAACTGGTTGGCAACGGATATTGCAACTTCTTGTGTTGTGTAGAGTAGAGTTAAGCGAATATTTGAAATCTTGAAGACCAGTTTCATGATTTCCTTGTACTTTCTTTAGATGTGTGACTTAGACTTTCTTCTGTTCAAAATTTATCATTTTCCACTGTATCTTCCATAACAATAGCTCTTCTAAGCCTTACAAACAATAACATTTTAATTAGTTCAAACAAGTGCAACAGCAAAAAACGGAAATCCAAAAACGCAGTAATTATTATTATATCAGCAGTTCGGTGCATTGGTCGATTACGTTCGGCTTTCACTTACACTTTTTTTTTTCTCGTGCAATTAAAGTTCATTTCACTCCGCGAATAGTTTTCAGTTGCACGCATTTGTTGTTAGAGAAAGTTTTATAATCGGCCGTTTTAGAATAATTATTATACGACCGTTCTTGGCAGGCCGGTGTCATTGAACTTATACGGCCTTATAGCTTAAGAGTAAACAGTCAATGGTAAAGCAGGAATTAATTGTGACATAATCAATGAACATGTAGTTGCATTGTTGGTTCACGTATATAGTTTCTTGGGATTTTAAAATTTATATTGAACAATACTTACCTAGTGAAGATTCATTCATGTAGGTATCTGCTTTGTTTTTAGTTCTTTACTCTTTGGTGTTTATGGAGTAAATCGGAGGAAATGCGATAATTTTGGCCCTAAATCAGCGTTTGACGGTTAGTTGAAAGAAGAATCTATAGGGAAATTTAAAAATAAGAACCTGATTTAAAAAAGAGAAGACAAAGAAACCCCTAAAGATCTTATCCAGGACACAAGAGAGGACTTAAAAAACTTGATGAAACAATGATTATTCAAAAATCGCTCCAGGATAAAAATGGAGCCTAACATAGAAGACTAGAAGAAAAAATTCTAAGAATAAAAAAGTAATGGCTCAATAGTCGAAGATCCAACAAACAAACATACCTACACAGTATTATTCGAAGGAATTAAGACGTCTCTAGGGATAATCAAAAATTTAACAAACTGGAATGACACTAAAACAACAAAATTGAAGTACATGCTTCAGGAGTTTCCCCAACTATAATCAATTAGCGAAATTCATTCTAACTTTGATCCTGGAGTAACTAAATGATAGAAGGAAAGCTCTAAGAATAATAATCAGAAGCAACTAGCCTATCCCTATCAACTGTTCCTTAGAAATCAGAGGAGCTTTAAGAACTACATAGTACCAGAAGAATCAGGGAAAAGCAACTAGCTCAATACCTTTCTTTGAAAAATCGATTAAAACAAGTAGCTTAAAAAACTTTAATTAAAAGCTTCAATAAGAAGCAAATTGAGCAAAAGGTGCCTTAAGAATCAATTTCAGGATAGCTTCCAAAACCATAACCAAAAGGCTCAGAAGAAGCGATTTACGCAGAAGAAAGTCGATAATCAATACTCATAAGCTGCGAGAAAAACAACTAACTCCTAGTCTGAGCTTCTAAATAAAGTAGGAAAGCTTCATGAATAACTATCATCAGAAGCCTCATGAATTATCGAGAAAGGATCCAGAATTCAGAGAAGGAAACGAAAAGCCTCAGAAGAAGTAATTTATGAAGAAAGTCTCACATAATCAATGGAAGAATAAGGTTCAGAAAAAGCAACTGATCCTGGAGGAACTGAATGAAGCTTTAAGAATAATAATTATAACATGCTTTATTACAAAAAGGCAACTATACCTAGTTCATCGACTGTTAATATTAACGTGAATATTATGTAAATACTAATACTACGTTTATCGTTTATGTAAAATGATATGTAATATTTACATCTACCTACTTGAGGATGACATTATGCATTACATTTAAGTTAAATTTAACTTTATTGCGATTCATAAAATACTTCGAAATTATATAATTAGGTAAACTATGTAAATTTCTACCTTAAATTCATCTATAGCTGCTTTTATTGGGCTTTTATCAAATAAATACTACTTGTTTGTGAAAGTCTAAAAAAAACTTTGTAGACCGACTATAAAGACGTTAGTTTTGATGTAAAAGTCTTCACACTAACACCCAACAAAAGACATAAAGTAAAATCTAACAAAGCTACACCCTAAACGACAGAACATCAATACTAGGGCTCGGAATTTTTAAAATCCAAGTATTCGAATAGTCGTTTGGTATTTTATTCGAATAGTTGAATAATTCGAATAGTCGAATACCTATTCGAATAGTCGAATATTCGAATAGTCGAATAGTCGAATAGTCGAATATTCGACTATTCGAATACTCGAATATTCGAATAGTCGAATATTCGAATATTCGAATAGTCGAATAGTCGAATATTCGAATAGTCGAATAGTCGAATAGTCGAATATTCGAATAGTCGAATAGTCGGATATTCGAATATGTAGTCAAAAAGTCGAATATTCGGATAGTCTAATATTCCAATGGTCAAATATTTTGATAATCATTTATATTAGTTAGTTCGTACTTCGTCGTACTGTTAGTACTAGATTCTACTCTCCGCAAAAGAACGATCTACGACGCGACGAAGCGAATTTTTGATTTTTTATGCAGAGTATTGCAGAGTCAGAAAAACTAAAATAATTTAGATGTTTTTTAAATGGCAAATTTACAGAGGGTTAAATTTACATTACGAACAAAAATATATTGTATTTATTGAAAGCTGATTTTCACCGAAAACACGTCGAATATTGTATCATTCAAATTCAAATAATGAAACAATTGAAATTTTAAATTGAATATATACTCAAATCAAAAAGTGAGTAATTGCATTGGTAAATAGTCCAATATTCAAATAATTCGAATATTCGAATAGTCGAATATTCAAATAGTCTAATATTCGAATAGTCGAATATTCGAATAGTCGAATATTCCAATAGTCGAATATTCCAATAGTCGAATATTCGAATAGTCGAATATTCGAATAGACGAATATTCAAATAGTCGAATATTCGAATAGTCGGATATTCGAATATTCGAATAGTCGAATAGTCGAATAGTCGAATATTCGAATAGTCGAATTTGCTAACTAACAAAAAAGTCGAATTTAGAATAGTCGAATAGTCGAATATTCGAATTATTCGAATACAATTCCGAGCCCTAATCAATACCAGTTGACGAAATCTCTTTCGATAAAAGTTACATTAGATTGTAAATTGCATCACTGGAGTCCACTTCTTGGGTTGTATGGTACTCACTTCTTGGTACGCTATAGCTGTGCTCCTTAAACGTGCTTATTCACATTATGCTGTTTCAGTTCAGTCAATTCTACTTCGCCTACCTAGGAGGTATGTCACATCCCATTAGGTAATGCCCAATGAACAGGTCGACGACTGCTGAAATGTCTGCTCTGTTTGTGTCCAAGTCGGGAAGTTGTCATACCTGGAGTGGATCTTATTTGTTCTTTTTCCATCAATTCAGTTCTTCCATGAAGTCGCTCTTCATTAGTTCACAAAATGGGCGTGGGTACCTATTGAAAAAGTGTTGTCGTCTCTAGTTTGGCGAGAAAATCTGCTTTCCGTTGTCATCTATGCCTTGTTATTCTGGTATCCTCATCGCAGGGTTGATTGAGACATTATGTTTATCGTATCCATAGTCTTTATATTCCAGAAATATCGTTCTCCAACCATTATCTTTCTCATTCTATTGAAAGTCATTGTCGCTTTCTCATGGGAAATCAACAGCTTTCATATGATCATATGCGATCTAAATCATAGGAGAATTTGAATTTTTCATGTGGATAGAGTTTCCTATTATCGAGAACCAGCGGTATTAAAACGTATTCGAGCGTTTTCGACATTTATATAAATAACGTTTGAAGTTGTGACATTTGCACTAGAGAAAAATGTCCAATGTACGTTCTCAGTTGCTTTAACTGATGGTTTTAAAACGTTTCTGTGCTACTTGCTATTACGGGAAGTACTCTATCAAAATCAAATATGTTTTTCTCAAGTTTTCAAAACTTATTTATCTATTCTGTCTTGCAAACCACATTATTTAACATTACAGTAGCTGTACACTAGTCATAATTCAGTTAATTTTTGTTCAGGAAATGATTTAAAAAACAGATAAATTCAGAAATCCATCGCATCCAAAACTCACCTAGGTACATAATAGTAATCCGCATAATCGTTTTCGTGTAAACCAATAATTTATACGCTTGCCATTTTCATTGTAATATATAGAAAGTAGTTAATTTAATTTGAATAATAACAATGCTGGCGTGCCAATGTTTAATAACAATATTCTCTCTCTCGATCAAAAGCTTCCTTGAGATTCCAGGAAATATCGCTTTACGCGATAGAAAAATTACTTTCCTTTTATTAATAGTTTGTCTTTTTTTGTTACAGGTGGTCTAAAAAACCGTTTACATGTCTTGGAAAAGGTTCAAAATCCATAGAGACATTTCAAGGTAAGGTTTTTCGGTATAAACCAAAAAACTAATGAACTCATGCAATTTGTTTTAGGTGTCTTTTGATACCAATAATTCACCAGTTGCCTCTTGGATAGCTACAAAATTGCAGCGAAAATCAGTCCCCACGTATTGCCCCTTGGCGGGGGGCAAGATAATTCGATGTCCGCACTGGCGATGCCCTTTATTGACAACGATCTTCTTTGGAGTAGTGATCACGATGGAAAAATGGTCGATTTGTCTTCTTGTCTACAGGTAAGTATATTGAAGTTTGTCCATAAAGACTAAAAAGAAATAATTGATCAATAATCGGAGATGGGGGAGCGACTAGGGCGTTTAAATTGGACGTTGGGCGCCCTATAGCCTGTGATCAAAAGTACAGGGGGGCTTTATTTGAAATTGATGCAACTTTGCGTCCACGCAAATATTGCTTTAAATTGGACGTTGGGTGCCCTATAGCCTGTGATCAACAGTACAGGGGGGCTTCATTTGAAATTGATGCAACTTTGCGTACACGCAAATATGACGTAAATGATGTCATTTGCGATTGAAAAGGGGCATGTCAAATAAGCCATGCACCAATTTTCAATCGCAAACGACGTAATTTGCGTGTACACAAAGTTGAGTGGATTTCAAATAAAGCCCCCTTGGCAGTGACTCATATAATGCCGCACACAAGAACGACTACGCGGCAAATTAAATAGAAGCTAAGATTGGGGTACCTATTGATAGATTGAAGATACACGCCACTGGAATAATTTCCCCTGACGTGCGTTTAAATTGGACGTTAGGCGCCCTATAGCCTGTGATCAAATGATCAAAAATACAGGGGGGCTTTATTTGAAATTGAGGTAACTTTGCGTACCCGCAAATATGGCGCAAATGACGTCATTTGCGATTGAGAAAGTGCGTGTCAAATAAGCCGTCCACCAATTTTCAATCGCAAATGACGTCATTTGCATGTACGCAAAGTTGCACATCATCCAGATCACCCAGTTCATTTTATTCACTCTATCTATTGAACAGACGAACAGACTACTACTGTGATCAAAATTACTGGCAGTGACTTCATAATTAATGCCGCACACAAAAGCTCTTATCAGGGTACCTATTAACCATGTTGTTCGAAAGAGGAAGTTTGCCTGATAAATTTATGACGTCATCTGGGGTGCCTCAACTGCAAATCTCCATAATTAAGGCACCCCAGATGCGTCATCAAATTCCCCATTACCAGGCAACCTATTTACTTTAGGAACCTTGCCTATTAACACAGTTTTATTAATCGATTCACTATACCTACACGCCACTGAAATCATTTCCCCTAACGTCCCACAACCAGTGCCGTGTTATATGTGAAGAGTGATATAGCATTGTTTTGGTTTGAAATTTGGAACGGTTCTGGGATTGCGCAGAAGTGCTTGCGTGCAAAAAATAATAAAGGACTGTTCTAATACTAGTTCTGAATCAAAAAAACCAAAACACACCGCAAATCACAAAAATCTTAAACAGTTCCTCCTTCAGAGCAAGAACTGAGGAAACCGTACTAGAACAATCCCAGAATTGTTCTTAAATAGTTCTTAGGTAAGCCAAAGTACTGTCAACACAGTTCGATTACGATTCTGAAAAAACGAAAACGCGTTTTATAATATGCGCATGTGCATAGAATGATTCCGAACTAGTTCTAAGTGAAGCCAAAACAAAGCTAATGCCAGTAATTTTTGATCACTAGTATCACCAAATCACCACTTACCATGACGAATGTGCTAAAACATATCAAGGATATTACACAGGATAGCCTATCCGCTCTATTTTCATAAGACCTGTGTAGATCAATGAACTATAACCAAAAACTGGAATGCGCATACCTACGTCATATTGACGAACGTGAAGCCTAGTGCCGCTGCTGCGGAGGGGATGCCTGTTTTGTCGCACAGTTTTGGTTATAGTTCATTGGTGTAGATCAAATCTCAAGCCCCCCACCCCACCAAAGTATCAGGGATGACGTAGGCAGCGTGTCGTTTGTCGCCTTGATGAGGGGTGTTTGTACCACAGGCTATGATTCCGCTGGCTTTTGCTTCATGCATACTTCGTTTTAATATATTGATAAACATTCCAAAACGATAATTTCAATATTCCAAACAAAAACCGCTGGCGCAAACAGCTAAAGACACCGTTGATGACGTCGACCACGATGCAACACCATGTCACCTCGATTCCAAAAATCGTAGTGTGTAATATCCTTCCGTAGATATGTCTAGCTCTTGTCTAAAAATATGCTAATGCCTAAAGATAAGTACAGTCCTCAAGACACTACGAGGTGAGGTGTTTTATTTGTATCTAAGGCCCGTATTCATAGTCGATGCTCAAGGTTGAGTTTTGGCTCAAGAACGACTTGACGCCATATTTGCGTTTCCAAACAGCACCGAACGATGCTCACAACTGTCAAAAATCGGAACTTGAGCCAAGCACTCGTCTATGAATACGCTAATTGGCTGGACCTGTTCTAAGCAGATCTGCACTCCTAATTCTCAAAACAGGTGAGAAGCATTTTCATGAGAGAGCAACTTCGCTGTGTTGACCCTGTTTTGACAAATGACAACTAGAGCCCAGGTCTGTTCGGAGCAAGTACAATAAATTGAGAGTTTTGTGATCCTTAAATGGTTTCGGCTTGGGCAACAAGACTACTGAGACAAATCTGCTGCATTTATCTTTCTTTTTGTAATGAGTAGGAGCGCGAAACCCTAGATATGCCTTAAATTTTTTCTCATACCGGCTACACTATCTATAGTCTATTTCTGTCAGGATGGCGAATGCGCTCGAATAAAATTCTGCTCTTATTTTAGGACGCATCTGTCGCAATCGGCACCCAATCACCAGCAACTAGTGCCAGTACTAGTTCCAGTGCTGCCCTGGGCGAATTATCTCAATCGGACCTGACGAATTTAGTGCCGGCAATGGCGGACGATAACGGTCACGAAGACGCCCACATGGAAGACTCCGAAACCGACGACATTTTCAAACATTTGAGCGACACTACCGCCATCGAAATTGAAAATATTTTGAGCGAATTCAACAACACCCCCTACATCAAGGTATAAACTGCCCAGGGAAGATGGCGAGACAAAAATAAACCCCAAATTGAACAGTTTGTTTTATTGAATTTAAATTTTATTTGGTTTTAATTCGTTGTTTTTATTGATTCGCCATTTTTCACTGGGCAATTTTTAAAACCAATTAAATTAACCCAAACTCCAAATAATATCCTACTATAACACCCATATCGAATTTGTAATTCAACTAGTTCACAGATGGCGCCACATCAAAATTAAATATGCACGTGTAGTATCATTTCTAAAGATGGCACCACAGTATTTTACTGCAGGAATCTGTAAAATAATGGCAAAAAGGCAATTTTTTTTTCTTAAATTCCTACATAAGAAAAACTTTTAATCTATCCATAATAATTTTCTTATAATAGCCTAGTTTTTTCTTTAGCGTCAATAAGTAGAAAATAAACATTGTTTACGTATTTGTGTTATGTATTACGAGATGGCGCCACATACATTTCTATTTGCTTTTAAATTTATCCTACTAGGTAAGTCAGTTATTTTAAATTATTCATCACCATTTGTGAGAATATCGTTAATGGCCACTGGGAATAGTGGAGTTTAACTAATTTACCAGTCAAATAGAATTCAATACAGGCACTTACATCTTACATATAGCTTTACTTGGCACTTAATTGATTCTCTTGTCTCTCCAGAATTACAAAATAAATAGCGAAGTTATCTGGTGATAGCTAATTATCTTTGCTCTGACAATAAGAAATTTCAATATTCTAACAGTTATTCTATTTTAAAATCGTAGCAAGAAGAGAACAACAATACAATTTCGACGGACCAGTGTAGTAATCCGGATTCGCCGCAGAGGTCGCCGTCGATCGCCGAACTCGGTAGGAAATTTACGATCGCCGCGGCCAATCCGATATTGGCGGAGAAACTGGCGACACCTAGCGATCAAACGTTGAATCTGAGCAACGCGCAGGATGACAGCGGCAGACAACTGGCGATGCTGACACCGAAACTCGAGAAAGGTAAGTGTAGAATTCTACAGTAGAGCGTTAATTAATAATGTATGGTTGAAAAATATTACAATAAAAGTATGAAATTTTCACATTTTTGGTGATAAAGTTCTTGTTTGGTCTCCGATTGCGTAAATCAAATGTTGATTGTAATACCGACAGAATGGCGAACGCTACGGAATTATCTGTTTTTTGTTAGGTTTACTCTATCACCAATAGGTGGCGGTACCTTTATTAATTTACCTGAGGATTGCATCTTATTTCCGTTATTTCCAATGAAACAATGTTTTTAAATTTTGTTTACGACTGATGTATAATGTAACCATTATACTTGTGATTTTGGCAGTATAATGACATCTGTTATTCCCTCAGGGACTAATGACGAGTAGCGGGATTAATGGTCATTATTCTTCAAAACTGTCAGTGTCAAACGTGTATTGCTTGTGGATTGAGAATTGAGATGAATGAAATTTGTTCATTGAAAATCTCAAATAAATTAATTTGTCGTAAATAAAGTAAAGTATACTACTCGCAATAATGGCCATTATTCCCTCGGAATGTTACTCCCTCGCCGCTAACGCGGCTCAGTTCGTAAATATTCCTCGGGAATAATAGCTATCATTATTGACTCGTGGTATAATCTACTATTGATATTTCTGATAATTCTACTCCTACTATTTATTTTCTACTCCAAAGGTCAAATGGGTCTTTCTTTGCTATGGAATTTATTTATTTGGTTATCGGTTATCTGAAAGACTTATGGCCGTTTGCACCAACCAATCATTTTAAAGGAGATTTAACGATTATCAACGTTTGAAGTGACGTTTTCACATGTAAAAATGTCACTCTAAACGTTGATTATCGTTAAACCTCCCTTAACATGGTCGGTGCAAACGGCCATAATCCAAATATTATAGGTATAGGCTCAAAACAGGTGTATGTTTTGTGCGTTCGGCTAATGGCAATCGCGTGCGGAAAAATGGTATTTTCCGTAAGTTTTAGGAGTACAATTTCTCCTACGAGCGTGCGGAAAACAATTTCTACGCTAGTGTAAAAAAATTACTTCTTCCGATTTTCTTTTGGTGAAGGGAAAGGTCTTGAATTGCCATTTGAAATTCAAATTGTGTGGGATGCTGACGTCACTATCCATCGATTTCTATTGGCTGCTCACTTGCCTTGTCGCCATATAATAGGTTTGTTCCAACCTGCAATAATATTACAGTAAAATTATCGTCCGTAACCGCGCTAATGCGACTGCGCAATCAAAAACAGTAATATTATACTAAATAACTTAAAAACTTGTTGGAACGTTTTTTGAACTAGTAGTACTCACAACACAAGATGAAAATAACAAAATCAACATAACTTGCAAACTTGCAAGTGAATCATCTTCCACCACAATAAGGAATTCTTCTAAATCTAATATAAGACAAAAACAGATTTATTAACTCTGAGAACAAATAAAATAAAATTACTTAACTTCTATATAGCAGTCATTTTCAAATAAATAATTTAAATAAACAAAAAACTGAGGTTCTGGGTTATGTATTATTATTTATGTTCGTTGTTGTTCAACCACTGACCCGTTTTCGACCTCACTACGCATGCGTCTAATTTTAGAACCAACAGTTCTTCCTTTCAAGCAAGAATCGTTTGAACCGTAATTTTACTATCCGTAACTCCGGTTGGAACGACGAACTGTCAATTATCGCTAATTCTAAATTAGTAATTTTAACTGGTTGGAACAGCATTTCACAATTGCGCATGTGTGCCAGTAATTACTGGAAATTACTGCCGGTTGGAACAAACCTTATATCTCGTCTTCGTATATCACGTATTATCGCGGAATTTATAACAGCAATCTCGTGTCAATGAGACAACTATGCAGATTTTGATCGATGCAAAATATGGCGGACTATTTGAAATATGTATTGCAATTTTTTCCCTTTAAGTTTCCCTTTTCTTTGTTAAATAAACCATACTGGCCCTTGTGTCCTATTTTATATACTTTTTCGAACAATATAAGTGAAATAATAACTTAAATCCACTTGAATGGAAAACCCATATTGGATACAGAAAGTAGCATCGAAATAATTGAACTAATTGAGAATGATCATTGATCAGATGATTAGTGGAGATGGAGATAATTTATCTTGAAGCAGTCCATAATTTTAACTCTATTGTCGTCAACACTCGACACAGAATTGATCCATTTGTTCCTAGGACCATAAAGATCTTTATGTATGGGGTAATTTGTTCGATTTTTTCTTGCTAGAGGCAGCAGCGTCAATCATCGCTATTATGTTCTTGTAATTAATTTTGCGTATTCTGCTCGCTAGATGGCAGCGTTAACGACCAGGTTCTGAAGAGCATAATTTATTCATTCATACTCCGTGGTCGGGAGTAGTTGGGACGATTTTTGAAGTATTAGTTTTTGTTCTGATGTTGAGGTTAGATTTTTCCACAAATCACAAATTCGCATTTTTATTTTACTTGTGTCCTATGTATTTTGAGTAGTTAATTCTGTTATTAATATTTAGAAAGGAAGTGCTCCGGACACCATAGCCGTCACAAATACTGGTAAATAGTATTTCAAATACCAAGTATCAATTACAGGAAATTCATGTTGCAAGTACAAATATACCGAGGGGTCAACCACTTCCCGAAATACGTGTACACTTGGGCCGAATTACCTCCGAAATACTTCGAATTACCTAGAAATACCGTGAAGTACCTCGAAATACCAGGTATTCCTGTCGAAGTACGTGAAATACCATGGAATTACCGTCGAAGTACGCGAAATAGTCGAAATACCCTCGAACTACCAAGCGAAGTCCGGCAATACTTCTAAAAAAATTCTTGTTAATAACTATTAAGTATATTCTTATGAATCGCAGTGAATTTTGTTGCCATGTATTAAACAGGTAAAGCCAAAATTAATAAGAATAAAATATTATAATAAAATAAAAACAGCTATCAGAACATCAAATATTTTAAACAGATAGATGTAAAAAAAATGAGACTTCTCCAAAAATCATACAAAAAACAGGGTGTTCCATTTAAAAAACAGCTCATCCATGGGCGTTCTAATTCTTTAGTTCAAATGATTGTTTAATATATTGGTATTTGGCATTTGGTATTTTCTCAAAAATACAGGAAGTCAAAAATAATTCTGTGTTCAGTCCTCGTTGAATGACCCTGTACAGGCTGTCCAAGATTCGATGGTTTTGGGGGGTTTAAGGTATTTCTAGAGAAGTTGGAAAAAATCTGGTTTCCACTTGCGAGCCTCGATTTTCAAGAGAAATTGACTGATGAAAACCGCATCTTGATATGTCGAGACGTTTTTATGCTACGAGGTGTTTTTGAAAACTTTTGGAGTTTGGCAGGGGGCTATAACTTTTTTATTTATGAAAATTTGGTAAACTTTTCCCTTTTCCTCTTGTAGCCTGAAAACGAATCGAGATATCGAGGTGCGGGTGTCACTGGTGCACTTCTCTTGAAAATTGAGGATCGCAAGTGGTACCCGAAACCTGCTAAAACCATCGAAGTTTGGCCACCCTTTACTTTACTATTAACTAACTGCATTGGTTAGTTCATTACTTACACATATCAGGTAGTCTTTCCATTTATTTCAATTAATCTGCAGTATCTCCAAATTATGTTAACATATTTAGCTTGTTCGAAGATAGACTATAATTTTCATTCTATAATATTCCAATTTTAGGTGATACCTAAAGAATTAATTGTTCTCGGTAAATAAATAAAAACTACGTTTTAATAGCTCGCAATACCTCGGATTACCGCGACATACTTCGAATTACCTCGAAATACTTCGAATTGCCTCCAAATACTTCGAAGTACGGCAATACCACAAAAAAATAGGTTCGAATTACCACCACCGAAATACTTTGAATTTCGCGAAATACTTACGAAATACCGACATTTTCGCAATACGTGTACACATTTTTACAGAGTGGTTGACCCCTCGAAATATACTATATACTTTCAATTTCAAAAGTACTTCAAGTTTCAAGTACCTACTTTGTTTCAGTACTTGATTTTTTCAAGTAGGTAAAATAATTTAAATACCTTTAAGTATTTCAAGTACTTAATTGGATATTTGAAATACTTATGTGTATTTGAAATAATAAGAAGTAGGTACTTCAAGTACCCACTAAAGAGGTATTCAAATTATTCAATGATTTTTTTAAAAGTGTGTATTGAAAGCTGAAAATACTTATAATACCTCTAAAAAAGTACTCCAGATTCCAAGATTCCAGTTGCAGATTGTAGTTACCAAGGAAAAGGTAGTTATACTTTCAATTCAACAATTAAAAATTTATCTAGAAAAGGTTGATTAAGAAATGCAAGTCAGAAAGTGCATGTCTTCTTGGTGCGTTCACTATTTCTACAAAACTGAAGTCTTTCTACAGGGGCTGATGACGGAAGACACGTATTGTACCTATGTATGAAAAACTTCTTTTATGACAGGAAACCTATCCAAGGATTTTATATCTATACTGGTATCCTCTGCATACGTGTATTTAAGGACATGTTAATTTCACATTTGGATTACTTTCTCTGGTATTTCAATTACTTTTTACTTTCTGATGGGGTATTTGAAATATTTTTGAATATTTTGAGTACAAATGCCCAGTATTTGAATTACTTTTTTTGTAAATCCAAGTACCAAATACAAATACTTAATTTAAAGTATTTCCAGAATCAAGTACAAATATCCATAAACAAAAGTATTTGAATTATAGTGGGTACTTCAAATACTAAAAAGTAATATTGAAATACAATTTCCAAGTAATTTACTTGAAGTACTGACACCTCTGCCGGGCACCAGAGCCGTGGCGCCATCTATTAGCAGCGGATTATAGGCAGTGACATTTTGACATTTAGTAAATAAACAATTAAAAATAAAACAAAGTCCTAAATTATAGTTGTGGAAGGTACCTAATATTGCAGTCGCTTGAAGATAGAATGCTGTACCTATGCCATTCAGC